CTCTTGGTACTTCTTTTCTTTTTAATCTAGAAATTTATTTTGTCAGATGTAGATATGGCTACATCAGCTTTTCTCTGGATACCATTTGTTTGGAATATCGTTTTCCACCCTTTCACTGTGAGTCTATATTTGTCCTTGCAGCTGAGATGTGTCTCTTGAAAGCTGCATATGATTTTTTGATCCAAAATACTACTTTGTGCCTTTTTATTGATGAGTTCAGTCCATTTACACATAGAGTTATTTTTCAATAACCATTTTATATTTTGTTTTGTAGTAGCTCTGTGTCTCTATGGTTTTTTTGCTCTGTGTCTTTCTGTTATTTTAGTTTGGTGGTATTCTATGATATTTCCTCTCTTCCATCTTTTTTTTTTGTTATGTGTCTCAGTTTATATTTGTGTGTGTGTGTGTGTGTGTGTGTGTGTGTGTGGTTACAGTTAAGTTTTTTAAAAATAAGTTTTATATATACAGTAGTTCTTTTTCTTCTGAACACATCTCTATTCATCTTTCCAAATTCAGACCTTTACTCCCTCCCCTTTTCTGTTTATGTCATTTCAAATTATTTCTATTTATGCTATGATTTCATTTCCGAGTTGCAGTAGCTATTGTCTTCCATTTTTTCAATGTTTTTACTACCTTCAACCTTTATGTTATATATAAGTGTATAATATCCTATTCTAAATAATGGTTGCAATTTCCTACTTCCGTCTGTCTGTTAGTCATCTTACTCATAGTTTTGTATCTTTTAGTCTTTTAGTTTCGGGTAGAATAACTTCCTCTAGTATTTTTTGTAATACTAGCCTTGTGGCGGAAAATTTCCTTAGCTTCTGTGTATATGAAAAGGTCTTTATTTCTACTTCATATTTAAAGGAGAACGCAGAAACTTGGCTGGTAATTTCTCTCTTTCAATAGTTGGAATATTTGATTTCACTCCCTCCTAGCTTGTAGTTTCTGCTTTAAAATCCAGTGATAATCAAAGGATTTTCCTTTATAGGTTACCATTTTGTTTTCCTTGGCTGCTTTGAGAATTCTTTGTCATTAATTTTTGACAATTTTAATGTAATGTGTCTTGGAGAAGGCCTTTTTGGGTTGAGAAAATTAGATCTTCTGTTTGCTTCTTGGATTTGAGGATCCAGTTTTTTTCCATTGGTTTTGGAAGTTCTCGCCAACTATTTGTTTGAATAGGCTCTCTGTTCCCTTCTCCTTCTCTTTTCCTTTTGGTATTCCCATTATGTTTATATTGCTCTTTCTGATGGTGTCAGATAGTTCCTGTAGAATTCTTTCATTATTTTTTAACTCTCAAGTCTCTCTCTATTCCCATCTTCATCATTTCCAGATTGTTGTCTTTGATATCACTATTTAATCCCTCTCTCTGGTCCACTCTACTTCCTAAACTTACTATTTCATTATTCATCTCTTTTATTGAGGTTTTCAGCTCCAGAATTTCTATTTGGTTCTTTTTAAAGTTTCAGTTTCTTTAGTAAAGTATTCCTGTTGTTCACTGTTTTCATTTCTGAGTTCATTAAACAGCCTATCTGAGTTTTCTTGCAGCTTGTTGAGATTTTTCAGAACTGCAATCTTGGGGCTCACCACTTGCTCTGGGAGTGTGTGTGGAGGCAAGCTCTGGAAGGGTGGTGAGGGGGATGCGTCCAGCCTCCATGACTCAGCTTTCTGTCTGGCAATGGTAGTTGCTAGAAAACAGCTGTCATGCCTCTGTATTTTGTCTCTACCCTTATCTCTGTCCTAATCACTGAGTTCCACTGCCATAGTCTATGCTGATTACTCAGCTAGGAATGCTGCAGGCTACAGAAAGTGTGCTCTTCAATCTGATTCCTCCTCTCTCCTTGAGTCCCACAGGGAGCTTTGGGCTGCATCTGTGGCACTGGTGTCTGATCTATTCCCTTTCCTCCTCCCTTGCTTGGCTGAATTGCAACCTTCAGGTTCTCTGCTGCATAGACTTCTCAGACATGTTTGTGTCTTAGGCTGGAAATTTTCTGTTGAATTGTAGCTGTTCAATTTGTTGTAATTTCAAGGGGAATGAGCAAAGGGACCACTCATGTCACCATGCTTCTGAGGTCCCATAATTTTTTGTTTGTTTTTCACTTCTTTTTTTTTTTTTGTCTTAGATTTTTGACAATCTCATATTATATGTCTTGGAGAAGACTTTTTGCATTTAGGCATATGGTGATCTGTTAGGTTTTATAACTTAGTTGTCTAAGTCTCTCCCCAGATTTGGAAAGTTCTCAGCTACTATTTTTTAAAATGAACTCTCTTTCCTCTTTTTCCCCTCTCTTCTCCTTCTGAAACTCCATTTACTCTACTATTTGTATGTTTTATGTATTCCCATGAATCACATTGGCTTTCTTTACTTTTCATTCATTATTTTGGTCTTTTTTTCTCTTCTGCTTGGGTTATTTCAAAGTTTCTATTCTCTAGCTCACTGATTCTATCCTTCTACTGTAAATGCTCACTACTGCATTTTCCATTTAATTCATTGATTTCTTAAGGTCCAAAAATTTGTTTGGATCTATTTAATGATTTCTCATTTTGCTTATATATTGTTTTCCTGATTTCATTGAGTTATATTTCTGTGTTTTCTTATATCTCATTGAATTTCATTTAAAAAGCGTTTTAAAATCCTTATCAGATAGATTGCAAAATTCCAAGCCTTTGATTCAATTACAGAGGATTATTATTCTTTTGGTGATAATGCTTTTCCCTAATTTTTCATGTTCCTTGGAGTTTCACATTGCTGATTTTACATTTGAAGTAGCAGACACCTCCTCAAATCTTTTCTAGTTGCAATCAAGTGTAATATATTGTTCATTGGTTCTGTTGTTTCTGGGACCATCTATGATCTTGCATGATATCCTAGCCCCACATTACTTGCTCCTTATTGTGGCAAAAGCCTTATGATTTGGGGTCCTCTCTAGCTCTTACAGCTCACATGAGGGCCATTGGAAACTTCTTTCTTTTTTTTTTCCAGAAAGTGTTGCTATAGCTCAAGTTTTCCAGAAAAAAAAATGGTTTCTCCCTTGCTTATAGATTCTGCTCTGATTTTTCTGAGCACATTTCATTTGCCGGATTTCACTCTCACAGCCACGCTCAACAGTGTGCACACAGAGCCAACTACAGAATGGGAAGATATGTGGATTTAACACTTGACCTTTGGAAGTGCATGTAGGCCTGGTGGGGAAATAATCAGGTGAAGTTCTTCTAGAAGTTGATGAGTGAGCTTCTTGCTGAAGTCCTGAGCCTAGTCAGCAGGGATCATGACCCTTTAATGCACTTTGATATTTTTATCTGTCTCTTTCCCAATCTCCTCCCTCCCTTCAATTTCTGCTTTAGTATTATTGGTGCTACTAGAGAGAAATATATTTCTCAGCAGCATCCTACACAGCTAGAGTAGCTGGGCACTTACTCACCATACCCTCTTTCCCCTGTGAGAGAGGTTACTGCATCTATTTTAGACTCAAGTTATGCTGCCTTGAGGGAAGTTTAACATTGACAAATTTTCTCTTATCATTTCCAATACATCCAAATTTATTTATTTATTTTTTATGCTTTAATGGAATCTCCCATCTTGACTGCTTAACTTCTACAAATTTTTTCATCTATTGGTATATGCTCAAGACAACACTCTCCAGTTTCTCTCTGACTGCATGAAAGAGGGATTGGGGCATGCTTTCTGGCTTTGGCTGGTACCACAGTTCATAAAAAGGTGTGTCTGGCTATTACCAGATGCATAGTTGGGCAAGACTCCCCCTGGTTCCTTGGAATACGGTGCTGGGTTCCACAACTCCCACAGAGGCACTTTTGTTTTTAGATAGATAAGATTTTTAGTTGTTAAAAAGGTGGGATGTATTTCTTGTCATAATGCTGATGTCACTCTTCTTAAATTTTACATACACTGAGACTCACTTTTTAAAATTAAATTTATTGGGGTGACATTGGTTAATAAAATTATATAGGTTTCAAGCATACAATTCAATAATATATCATATGTATATTGCACTGTGTCCACCACCCAAAGTTAAATTTCCTTTCATTACTATATATTTGACCCATTTCACCCTTATCTACATCTTACCCCTCCCCTTTCCCTCTGGTGACCACTAAATTGTTATCCATGTGTGTGAGTTTTTGTTTGTTTTGTTCATATGTTGCTGTCAGTTTTATATTCTACAAAACTGTTTCTGAAATCATATGTTTCTCAATGTTTTCTGTAGTGTATATTTCTCTAGGTTTTAAAGAATGCATAGAATTGTGTATCTATCATTTCAGTTGTGACGTAGAACAGTTCTATTGCATTAAAAAATTTTCTTGTACTTTATCTATTCCTGTGCTTCTACCACACTGTATTATTTCAGCTTTATAATAAGACCATATATGAAGAATATATCTCCTTGGTTTTCTACAGTATGTCTTGACCACTCTTGGTGTTTTGCATTTATATCTATATCTATCTATCTATCTATCTATCTATCTATCTATCTATCTATCTATCTATCTATCTCTATCTCTATCTCTATCTCTATATCTATATATAAAATGTTTCATGATAAAACAAATCCCACCCAAGGTGGTTAAGGAAGTTGCACTTGATTAGTATTCTTGTTTATATCTCTTCGAGAATTGGCCAGACAATGGACAGTATCTGGGACTTTGTATTGAAAAAAGATTGTCATGAGCTGTTATAATGTAAACACATTTTTGCTATTAAAAATGCTATTGAAAGCAGCCAAAAAAATTTTATATATATAAATTTTGTTTTCTTATCGGGATTGCATTGAATTGATAGATCATTTTGCCATTTCTATAAACAATGTAAAGCATGGGCCTTTTATTGGTTTGTAATTGCTATTGTTGTAAGGACATGTTATGCACATTTTTTATTATCATGACAAACTATTGAGTACATATATTAACTATTTATTAAATGGTAAAAATATAGACTTCAGATGTTATTAATATGTTATGCTAAATGTTTAATTGTTTTTCAGCTTCCAACCAATAGCTGACTACATAGATGCTCAATTTGAGGCCTATCTTCAAGAAGAATTAAAAATTAAGCGTTCCTTTGTCGACTACCATGATTCTCGTATCCATGTGTGCCTTTACTTCATTTCACCTACAGGACATTCTCTGAAGTCCCTGGATCTATTAACCATGAAGAACATTGACAGTAAGGTATGTTTGGTAAATCTATCAACATATCAAGATTTGATAATTATTTAGAGATAATACATATTTCAGGTATACATATACAAGAACTTATTTTTAATATGTGTATATATTTTTTCTGTTAATTTTTAAAACAAATGTATTAATTTCTTGAGATTATTATTATGAAATTCCACAGACTTAGTGGTTTAAATGACAGAAATTAATTTTATCACAGTTCTCAAGACTAGAAGTCCAAGATCAAGGTGTTGTCAAATTTTGTTTCTTCTGAAATCTTTCCCTTTGGGTGGCAGATGGCTGCCTTCTCACTGTGTTCTCACACGGGCTTTCCTTTGTGCACACATCTGGTATGTCTTTGTGTGCTCAAGTTTCCACTTCTTATAAAGACACCAAGATAAGATTATAAAGATACCAATATAAAGACATCAGATAAGATTAAGACCCATCCTAATCACCCTACTATAACTTAATTACCACATTAAAGATTGTATTTCTAAATGCAGTCACATTCTGTGATATTGGAGATTAGGGCTTCAAAATATGCATGGGCAGGGGTGTGTGTGTGTGTGTGTGTGTGTGTAAGCAGTCAGTCCATAACAACATTTGAAAAATTTAATATTAGCTTGCTTTCTAGAGAAATTTAATTAAAAAAATGCATTAAGACAATGAGATGCAGATAAAAAATTATTAAACTAAAAATTTAGTTTTTTGTGATTAAATGATAATTCAGATCATGGTCATTTGCCTATATTTTTGAAATTGAATTTACAGTACTATAAAATAACCTTGTTAATATTTACCTGGTACCACGGATATTGTGAAACATGAAGCTTCATGATTCTGACTACTGGTCCTATTAGAGAGGATGCAAAATGCAACATATGTATTTTTCCAATGGAGGGTCAATATACATATGAAAGAAACTTATGTCATGAGATTCTTCCCTGCACTCAGCCCTGATAAAACATGTTGTTTTCAATTTTATTTAGTTGAGGGGAGGAAAAGTTCTAAAATTGTTTTGTTTTGTCAAAGAAGGCCTGACTTATGTATTGTTCAAACTAGAAAGAAATTTTGTAGTTAATCTCATATACTATCAAGTAAAGAAGTTAGATTTCTAGTTAAAATTAAAAGCTACTTTAATTTCTCAATTTGTACTATATTCAATAATCAGGAACACACAGTTGTATCTTTAGTATTAAGGGTATCTATAATCATTAAGCAATTTCCAGATATAGGAAATTGCTAATTTTTGCAAGTATCATTACCTAAAGGATTCATATATGTCTGTTGTCATCTGTTCCAGGTTGTTCAGCTCTTTCTTTAGTAAGTGACTTTTGTTCCTCAAATCTGAATACCTGAGGAATGATTAACATGGAAAGTTTTTATGTCTTATGTGTTAATGATTTACTATCACTGGAGGGTATGTTTTCCCAGCTTTCTCACCAATACCACCCAAGAAATATATGTTCTACTTGGATCTATCTTAGCAGCTGTCTGCTTTCTACAGTGGAAGCTGTTTTTTAAAATTATACAATTACTCACAACTTTAAGCATCTATGTTACAATATTAAAGCCTTAGATTTGAACAAGGATTTTTTAAATGTACTTTGTAACAGTAATAAAACATTTTAGAATTTTGCATATTATTATTTTCTACAGAATTTAATTATTAAGATGTAAATGCATGGAGAACAGAATGATTATATTTTAGGACTAGAAAGAAAACATAAATAATTTTAACCCTCAAATATGCTACATGGAAATAATTCCATTTTAAAAATTACAAATTGACATATTTTTAGCAAGCTGCTATACACACACATACATACATTCAGCTTTTAGAGTATGGTAACAAAAAAGTCTATTGTTTCTAGGCGGTCTTTGGAAAACAAACAAACCTCTCTGCAAAGACATACAGGTAGAGCAATGATATGTTGAAATGTTGGTTAAGATAGGTTTATGGAGACGATGATACAAATGAATGAAGGACAAATTGTTTTACAGTTTTGATAAAAGCCTTCTTCTGCCTTTTTAAGCACTCAATTAAATTAGAAATAAAATAAATTGATAATGAATTAAATAGATTCCATCATCCTACTGCTTATGTTTACTAATTCCTGATGTGTTAAAAGTGTAAGAAAGTTTGAGAAATAAACAAAAATTAAGACTTCTAAACATGAATTCTGATAAATTTATTTTCAAAAGTACTGAGTATTTTGGAAAACCATTTTGTGAGGATAACAGAATAGTCAGTGATTATCTAGTTACAAATATTTGTTGTCAGAGAGTGTGAGATTTCAAGTAAAAATTCTAGGATTCACAACTAATCCCCTATGGTAAGATTTTTTTCTTCTTAATAGGTGAATATTATACCACTGATTGCCAAAGCAGATGCAATTTCTAAAAATGATTTACAGAAATTTAAATGTAAGATAATGAGTGAATTGGTTACTCATGGCATCCAGATATACCAGTTCCCAACAGATGATGAAACTACCACTCAAGTGAACTCCTCAATGAATGTAAGCTTCTAACTATTGAGTATCAATTCTGTTTTATATGTGGGAATCAATATAATTTATAAATAGCAATATTAGTAATATATTGTCACTTGCTTCTGACAAAAAGACTATAAATTAGGTGTTTTTTTCCAAAATCTACTATGAAAAAATGTTTTATTTTCTTATTTTAAAAAAATATTCACTGACAATTAATTCTATTTTTATTAGATTTATTGAGATATAGTTGACATGCTTATGATTCACCTATTAAAGTATACGAATCAATAATTTTTAGTCTATTCACGGATGTGCATGACCACCACCACAATCAATTTTAGAACATTGTTATCATCTCAAAAATAAATGCTATACCATTAGCTCCACTCCCCCCACCCCACTACCTGTGACCCCTTCTCTCCACCAACTCTAGGCAACCACTAATCAATTTCTTTCATTGTAGATTTCTTGGTTCTGGACATATTATATGAATTGAATTATATGACATTTTGTCTTTTCATATGCTCATTGTCTAATTAGTATATCTTCCCAGGAGATACATTTGCTTAGATCTTTTACCCATTTCTAAATTGTGCTTTTGTCTTTTCATTATTGAGTTTATTATATTTTCTGGATAAAAATTTCTTATAAGAAATAGGATTTGCAAATATTTTCTTTCAATTTGTTAGTCATGTTTTAACTTTTTTTGGTGTCCTTTGACACCATAAAAGATTTGAAATTTTATGAAGTCTAATTTATCTTTTTTTTTTTTGCTCATGATTTTGGTGTCATATCTAAGAATATTTTGCCAAATCCAAGGTAATAAAGATTTACTTATGTCTTGTTCTAAGAGTTTTAAAATTTATAGCAAAATAAACATGATATAAAACTCACCATCTTAAACATTTTAACGTGTACAGTTGAGTGGCATTATAGATTTACATTGTGCTATCATGGTCTCCATCTATCCACAGAACTCTTCATCTTGCAAAGGAAACTTTGTATCTAGGATTCCTGGTTGGCAAAATTCTATTTCTTGGACACTTTGATGTGTTATCTTATGGCTTACTGGTTTTCATATTTCTGTTGAGAAGTCGAATGTTAATCTTTTGGGGATTTCCTAGTAATTAATGAGTTGTTTTCTCTTGTTAACAATTTACATATTTACAATGATGTGTCTGTTGGCGAATTGCCTTGCATTTATCTTGGTTTTTGTTGAGTTTCTTAGATGTGTTGGTTATTGTTTTTCAATAAATCTGCAAATTTTCCATAACCATTTCTTTGAGTATTTCCTCTGCTCTTTTCTCTTTCTTTGGTATTCCCATTACATGCATGTTGGCGCACTTAATGGTACCCTACATTTGTCTGAGTCTCAACCTCACATTTCTGAGTCTCTCTTCAATTTTCTCTTGTTTTTTTTTCTTTCCTTGCATAATCTCTGTCTTCATATTTATTTATTCTTTCCTCTGCCAGTTCAAATCAATTTTGGAGCCACACTCCCAATTTTTTTATTATTAGTCATTGTACTTTTCAGACGAGATCGGGTGTGTTCAGGGTGGTATGGCCGTAGACAGTCATTGTACTTTTCAGATATGGAATTCCAATTTGGTCCTTTCAATAATTTCTATTTCTTTATTAATATTTTCTGTTATATGCAATATTATCTTCATATTTTCCTTTACTTCTTTTTATCCCTAGGTATACCGTTTTCATGTGTTTATTGAATTTATTTGTCTTTTTTTGACTAAAAATATCTGTTATTGTTTCAGGTCTTATATTTAGATCCTTAATCTATTTTGAGTTAATTTTGGTGTGGTGATAGACAACAGTCTAGTTTCATTGTTTTGTAGGTGGCCTTCCAGTCTTCCCAGCACCATTTATTGAAGAGGCTTTTCTTTCTCCACTGCATGTTTTTGGCTTTTTTGTTGAAAATTATTTGCCCATATAAATGTAGATTTACTTCTGGAAACTTAATTCTGTTCCACTGGTCTGTGTGTCTGTTTTGCTGCCAATATCATGCCATTTTGATTACTGTTGCTTTGTAGTATAATTTGAAGTCAGGAAGAGTGATGTCTCCAGCCTCATCCTTTTTTTCTCAGTATGGCTTTGGCAATTCGGGGTCTTTTGTATTTCCATACAAATCTGATGATTTTTTGTGCTATTTCTTTTTTAAAAAAGCCGATGGGATATTGATGGAGATTGCATTAAATCTGAATAATGTTTTAGGTAACATGATAATTTTAACTATGTTGATTCTTCCAATCCAAGAACACAGAATATCTTTCCATTTCTTTGTATCTTCTTTGATTTCTTTTAATAGGGTCTTATAGTTTTTATTATATAGTTCCTTCACATGTTTTGTTAAATTTATTCCTATGTGTTTTATTCTTTTTGTTGCAATTATGAAAGGAATTATTTTTTCCCCTTCTTTCTCTGACACTTCATTGTTAGATTATAGGAATGCTATAGATTTTTCAATGCTGATTTTGTATCCAGAGACTTTACTGTATTTGTTTACTGTTTCTAGTAGTGTTCTTGTGGAGTCTTTAGGGTTTTCTATTTAGAGAATCATATCATTCACAAATAGTGACAGTTTGACTTCTTCGCTTCCTATTTGGATGCCTTTTATATCTTTCTCTTGTCTGATTGCACTCACTAGGACCTCCAATGTTATACTGGATAAGAATGGCGATAGTGGACAGCCTTGCTTTGTTCCTGATCTTAGTTGGAAGGTTATTAGTTTTTCACCATTAAGTATAATGTTGGCTGAGGATTTGTCATAGATGGCCTTTATGATGTTAAGTACTTTCTTTCTATACCGATTTTGTGAAGTGTTTTGATCACGAATGAATGCTGTATCTTGTTGAAGGCATTTTCTGCATCTATTGATATGATCATATCATATTAATCAATTTGCATATGTTGAACTATCCCTATGCCCCTGGGATGAAGCCCACTTGATCGTGGTGTACAATCTTTTTAATATGTTGCTGAATTCGGTTCGCCAGTATCTTATTAGAATTCTTGCTGTGTTCATGAGAGAGATATATAACGCCTTTATTTTCTTGTATATATTTAATCATGCTCTCTGCCCTCAGTCCCTGTAAGTATTAGCAACAGTCTCGGCAGCATTTGTTCATATTCCCATGGGGCTCCGTGGTGTTTGGTTTTGGAGGGTATGGGGGTAGGGGACCTCTGCATTGGAGTTTGGGGACAGCAGCTCAGCCTCAGTTTTGCAACCAGGGCTGGTAAAAATCGACTGTTGTTTCTCTGCCTTCCGCTTCTCTGCTTTCTGCTCAGATGATTGAGCCTTGCCGCTGGCTGCGTAGAACTCATAACTGTCCCAGGCTTGGCTGTTCAGGAGAGTCTCTGCTCTTTATCCCCTCCCCCTCCCCCTACAGGGACCTCCCTCGAGAATCAGCTTCTTTATTTCTCCCAGTCCACCGCCTGACACCCAGGGTTCTGACCTGTGGTAGCTCTTAGGCGCAGATCCTATGATCAAATGTGCTGGTGTGCAGTTTGGGTATTTTTTGTTGAGTTTTAGATATTCAGCTTATTGTTGCTTCAAGGAGAGAGATCTGGGGATGTCTCTCCACCATGTTTCCTTTTCGAGTCTGATTCTATTTTTATGTGTTAGATAATTTTATATTCTTCACATATATTATTTGTGTTTTTGCATTTTGTTTATTTCATTTAGTGTAATGTTTTCCAATCATGTTTTTGCTTATGGGAAATTTTTCTTTTTTAAAAAGACTTAGCAATATTAAATTGTATGTACATACCACATTTTAAAATCTACTCATTCATATGAACATTTAAGTTGTTTCCACATCTTGACTATTTTGAGTAATGCAGCAATGAACATAAAAGTGCAGATATGTCTTTGAGCCAGAAATCAATTGTTTTGGATATCCAGAAGAGAGACTACTGGATCAAATGATAATTTTATTTATTTTTATTTTTTTGAAAAACTTTCATACTGTCATCCTGATTTACATTCCAACCAACAGAACATAAAATTTATTTTTCTCTATATCCTTAACATCAATTATTGTTTTTTCATAATAATTACCTTAACATATGTAAGTTGCTATATCACTAGGGTTTTGATTGGCATTTTCTTGATGATTTGTAATGTTGAACACCTTTTCATGTACCTGTTAGCCATTTGTATATAATTCATGAAGAAATATTTATCCAACTCCTTTGCCCATTTTACATTGGTTATTTGTTTTCTTGCTATTGAATTGTAGGAGTTTTTTATATGTTTTGGATATTTATTCTTTCTCAGATATGTTGTTTGCCTCTATTTACTGCCAATTGTCTTTCCATTTGTTAAGTATTTCCTTTGTTAAATAAAAGCTTTTTAGTTTGATGTAGTCCCACTATTTTTGCTTTGGTTACCTGTGTTTTTCATGTCATATACAAGAAATAATCACCCAGTCTAATGTCTAAAATTTTTTCTCTTTTTTTTTCTAAGAGTTTTATCGTCACTGTTTTTCATTTGATTTTAATACATTTAAAATCGCTCATTGTAAATGGCGTGATATAAAGATCCAAAATCATTCTTTTGTGTATGGATATCCAACTTTCCCAGCAAGATTTATTGAAGAGAGTAACTTTTCCCCATTGTGTATTCCTGACTTTCTGTCAAAGATCAGATGACTGTATTTATGTGGGTTTATTTTTGGGTTCTCTATTCTTACCATTGATCTTTATTTCTTTTCTTATGCCAATGCCATACTGTTTTGAATACTTTAGCTTTGTAACATCGTTTGAATTTAGAGAATGTGATACTTCCAAGTTTTGTTTTTTTGTAATATTTCTTTGGGCATTCAATTATTGACTTTTGTAATTCCTAATGATTTTAAGATTGTCTTCAATTTCTGTGAAAAAATTCCATTGAACTTTTAATAGAGTTTGCATTAAATCTATAGAAAACTTTGGAAAGTATGGATATTTTAATATATTAACTTTTTCGATCCATGAACATAGTATGTTCTATTTATTTTTGTCTTTTAATT